ACAAAACAAGTACTTTTCTTCATCCTAAGAACAACTGGGGTCCAGAGATGACAGATAACTTGACCAAGGTCACTCCAGAGCTGTGCAGGTTTTCATCTTCAGGAATTTGGCTAGGAAACATACAGGCTGCTACTTTAAAGAAATTCAGCTAAAGAAACGTGCATTTTAAAACTGGGAAAGCAGCTGATTATTTTCTCTCCACCTTTGCTGCATTTTAAGATGTGCTGTATGTAACAGCCTTGGGTTTGTCAGTCCAGTTGCCTGTGGACCATTCATGGAAAGGAAAACTATGCCAAAATGGCTTGAGCATCTCTGGGTGGTGCACAGTTGTAAAGGAGACTACTGTCTGTGCTCAAAGCAAAGGCTCAAAGCAGCTTTCTTATAAATCCTGCTTTAAAACATTGTGTACTAATTTCTCACTAGTGTGTGCCCTTCTGCTGACTACCTAGAAAATAAAATGTAAAAGTGCAACAGAATACAGAAGGGCTAAACTACAGATTTATGAAACTGTTTCATTTTAAACCTCCATAGAGAGTTATGTTTTCTTCTGTTGTCTTAGAAAACATGCTTTTCCCTAATTGGCCAAAGTGGGATTAGTAGCTGTGAAAGCCGTACACTTTACAAGGCCTTCTGGGATCTTACAAAATGCAGATATTTTCATATGCATCATTGGTGGAGCCCCAACTCATGCAGCTTCTCTGTGGTACAAACTAATAAGGAGCTGGAGAAATATGAACACAAAGAGCTTCCAGAGTCTTTTGTAATTCTTGGACAGTGGAGCCCATCCCCTCTTGTTGCCTTCTGTGCTACTGTAAGGAGCCCTGGACCCCTCATAGGAGCCCTTGCCACCATCCTCTCTCACCCTCTGTGGCTGCTTCTTGCAGTGGAGAAGATGTCAGTCATAGGATCCAAGGACAATTGAGGTGGGAAGGGACCCCAGTAGGTCTCTGGTCCAACCTCTTGCCCAAAGCAGGATGAGCCATGGGGCCAGACCAGGTTGCTCAAGGCTTTGTCAAGTTGTATCTGGAAAAACTCCATTACCGGAGCCTTCACAGTCTCTCTCCAGGCAACCTCTGCCACTGCCCTGCTGTCCTCACAGGGAAAAGGTTTCTTCTTACGTCCAGCCTGAAGTTTTCATTTCAGTTTTTGCCTGTAGTCTCCTGTTCTCCTGCCACACACATCTGTGAATAGCCTGGCTCCATCTTCTTGGTGACCTCCCCATGGATCCTGGGGGGCTGCTGTGCTGCTGTTACATTCCTACCTCCAAGCTGCCTCTCCCCCGGGCTGAACAGGCCCTGTTCCCCCAGCCTCTCCTCACAGGGCAAGTGCTCCAGGCCCCAGGCATCTTGATGGTCCTCTGCTGAACTCACCCATTTGTTCATGTCTGTCTGGTATTGCAGAGACCAGACTCAGATGCCACGTTAGACCCCTGCAGTACCCTACCAGTTTCTCACTCATACCAACCATAAAGTTCTTCTTGGTTGCAAGAATATTGTGGGATACCATGGCAAATGACATCCACTGCTCTCCCTTTGCCCACAAATCCAGTTGCTTTATGACAGAAGGCAATCAGGTTCGTCAGGTGTGGCTGATCCTTGGTGAACCCATACAGACACCTTCACCTCCTTTTGTGCTGCTGGGAGGGTGGTCATGAAATGCAGTTGTCTTCTCCTGCCCTGAAGTGTCACCGGGGACTGAGTGACCCCTCAGGGGCATAATGGATTTCTCTGTGCCCTGAAAGTCCCCCGGGCCTGCTTGCCTCTTCCCTCCCATATGCGGGTCTCTCCTGGGGGTACACAGAACATTGCAGGACATGGGCTCATGGCGACGTGGTTGCTCAAGGTGCATCAGCTCGTGCAGTTTTACAAAGCAGCCTGCACTCAGCAGGGAACACGGAAGCTGACCTTTTAAAACTGTATGATTTAAAACCTGTAACCACACATACTTGAATGCACAGTCTCCTTTTTCCTAATCTAACTGTGACCTGCCTTTCATCATGAACTTCTTTTGGTCAGGAGGAGCTGACTCTGATGAGTTGCTCTTGTAATCTACTGACTGCTCATGTCAACTTGAAGATCAGGAGCTCTGAAAAGGCTTGCTTAGAAACCTGACTGCTTGTGAGATGATCCCTGCTACCCTCTGTCCAATGAAGACATGAATATGACTTTTCACATTCCCAGAGCACCTTTCACTGGGGCATGTTTCAAACAGTAATGAATTGAGGCTCCTGCTTGGTCTGTGACAATAGGCATCATTACTCCCATTTCTGAGCCCAAAGCAGAGACATGTGGAATAAATTGATCTAGATTAAGAAAAGAGTCTTAGGCAGGGTCAGGAACAGAACTGACAGCGTCTGGCTCCTCGCCATAGTCTCGTACACAACTCATGGGTGTCCTTCCATGGGGAGACTTCATCCACACGTCTTATTTCACAGACTACTGGGGGAGCCTGACATTGGTCAAAAAATCCCTGGTGTCTGCTTATAAATTTTGGAGTCATTTACAGACATAGTAATAAAAGCTATATGCCATTTATTTATCAAGGCTGTTTTAATGTGCTGTTTGTTGTTTTGATAGTCTGTATCTTCTTCATATTGTAATCATATTAAAAGAGCATTCTTTTCCTGGAATAAAGAGGTAATGATTCACAAGAGGCATAATTATTCCACGCGGTGCAGGCAGGATGCTGCAGAAAGAGCTGTCTTCTCTATGCATAAGAGGCTTTTATTGCAAGTGTTCTACACAGTAATTAAATTCCTTTGAATGAGGAGACTTGATTGGATTTTCTTTGGTTTATTGGGAGGAGTCTGAAAAGCAAGGTATTTAGCTCAAATGCCATACAATTTTGGCATCTGTTGGAGGCTAGGGAGAGAGGTTCAGAGTGTCTGATTCCCATTTCTCTTATGCTAGTGTTACGTTAGCTGAACTCTGTTGAATTAAATTGAATTACACCCTCTTTGTATTTGTGTGAGAATCAAGCTCAGAAATCCCTGGTAGAAAGCAGCAGGATACCTGAATGCATGCTGTAACCATCCAAATTATATAAGGGAAAAAAAGCCTTGCTAAAGCAATGTTACTTGCAGTTGTAAAGGCAGGTGCCCAAAAGTAAGGAAACTTCACATTGACATCTGTCCTTTAGATCTGATGTTTGTCTTATGGCAAATCCAGCCTTAGCCCAGAATGGGACAAAGTTTTAAAAGACAGCAGCATGAAAATAAAAAGTCTGGCAATCGTGTAACAGAAATCTGCACTGTGGCTTGACACATGAGCCAGGATGCTGGCGTGGCACAACTCTTGAGTATCTGAGTTGCAAACTAAATCATGCTTGTTTAATGTCCACTACTGTACACAGATGTCAAGGTGTGGGGTTTTTCGAAGCAAAAGAGTAAAAATGTAAATTAAAAGGGAAACTATTATATACAGACTCGACATCTATCAGCAATGGGTTTGGGGTCTTGTAGCATAAATTACTGCATATATTCTTCTCGTTACTCCATAAGGCTACCAAATAGGTCAGGAGGAGAGTGTTGCTCAGGCAGGGCCATGGGGGTAATTTCACCCTGCTCAGATGTCTCTGGAGGGACAGTATGCATGATGAGGAAAGTGGCATTTTCAACAACTCAAAGAAGTGTTGTGGGGCAATAGGAGGCACTTTCCTAACCTAGGGGTTCCCTGCCTGCCAGGTGTTAACACCTTGTTTCATCCAGTGAGAGTGGGAATCTCTAAAGTGCAGGTTTCCAGCATTTGTAGGGGTCACGTGAAGGTTTGGATTTCAGAGTGGTTTCCAGGGGCTCTGCTCGGTGGTGGTGGTGGTGGTGGAGGAGAGGGCAGAGTGGAGGAGAAGGTCATGGGGCTGGGTGAGAGGAGGGATGGTTTTGCAGGGAGAAGGGCAGTGGGAATGAGGAGGAGGAAGAGCTTTGACTAGTTTTGTGAACACAAAAAAGGCGAGTACGAAGGAGCTGGGATATCAAGGCCTGCTGGGAACAGATTGGGACTGGCCAGAGGAGAACAATGACAGAGACATGGAGATCTCAGTCCAGATAGCAAAGCAATACAGACCTGGACCTAGGTCTGATGGGAACTGGCAAAAAAAGTCTGTGTACTGCAAAACCTGGGGCTAGACCTGCCTTGTGCCTGTGCATTAGACCCCCAAGCAAAGGGGAATATAAGTCTCTAAAATAGGTCTGTAAGTGCAAAATTTGGTTTGTTTGGAGGAGTCTGAAAAGCAAGGTATTTAGCTTCTACATGATGTACAGAGTGCAGTGCAGAGGAAAGGAACAAGAGTAATGGTTTGCAGTCATCTGTGATGCTGGCACACATGTCTGAACCCGAGCCGGGTTCGAGTGACTTACTCATCTCTGCCCATGACAACCCTTGGGCGTCCTTGTCAGCCATCAAGCCTCTTCTCCTTGTGTGATACTGGGCTTGATGATGTCTGCAGTTGAGGGTATTTTCTGGTTAATTTTGGTAATTGCAACCAGATCACTTTGTTTTATTACCTTCAGTCCCTCCTACTGCCTGCCAGGTGTTATGAACCCAACATACTGCCTGTCATGTTGTCTTCCTCTGTCTTCTTCCTTTCAACTTTAATGTTTTAAAATGAAAGACAAAGCAAACAATAGCTGCACAATCCTCCAGTCTCGGTGTTATTTGGGAAGCACCATGAGGCAAATGGGACCTGCCAGTCAGTGGCCCAGGACTTTATGAAGAATATTGCTGTAAGCTGGACACCAATGGGTCACATCAAGCTGTGGTTTCCCTGTTGTGACTCTACTGACTTCTGAGTGGTGTGCTTCCCTTCATTATTTTTTAATTCTCAGCAAGGATGCCTCCTGGAGACAGCTTTCTTTACAGAAAGTTGGAAAAGGAGTTAAACTTTTTGCCAATAAATAAATAAATACAAGATTTGGCAAATATTTGTTTATTTATTTATTTATTCAAGATCTGAATTAAAATTCATTCTGTTTTACTGATTTTTCTCTTCTGTCTTGGCTTCCTAAGCAGAAACGGTTGTACCTGAGGACTACCTGGTTGATCCTGCAAACATGAAGCGGTACAGTGTGGATCCTGCCGATTCTGCCTTTGGTTGCATGAGCTCCATGTACGCCATGAGGCAGAGTCCTGCAGATGGACGTACTGCTGGGGGCTCCTCTTCCTCCTGTAGCCATCGTCCTGCACAGATGTCTTCAGAGGGGTCATCATCTACTGGCCTGCGGCACCAGACCCCCAGCCCAACAAGGAACGGAACCTATCTTGAAGGTAATAGAAGTGGCAATATAACATCTTCCATTTAGCAATGTGTATTGCTATGCTGGTGCCATGCTGGAGAATTAACTCACTACCAAATTCCCAGGAAAATTAGTGAGATGGGTATGGTTGACATCCATCCAGACAACTCACACTTCCATTTAGCAGGGGAAATAATAACCTATGTAAAAACAAAATCAATCTGTTCATCATTAAGTAAAAAGTGAATGTTTTCTAATGCTGTTATTAATTATGTAAACATATGTATTATGTATAATCGTGTGGCAATCACAACTGTTATTATCGACTTACAGATATAAATATTAATATAAGGCATATAAAAATTAATATAAGGGAACCTGCTTTAGCAGGGGGTTGAACTAGATGATCTTCTGAGGTCCCTTCCAACCCCTACAACTCTGTGATTCTGTGATTCCTCCCAAACATTGCTACTACCTACAGGCAGGTACCTGTTATTTATGTGACACCAGCTGTGTACAAGATACAATGCAGAGCAAACCCAAATATTAGTGCCTACCTTAAAGCATTTTAGCAAAAGGTTTTGCTTCCTAGCTGCATGGCCCATCCTGTCCCTTTAATCATGAACCAAGCCAGATTTTGCTTGAAAAATGACTCCCCAACAAAACATATATTTTTAGAAATCATCCAGATCACTGCTCAAGGGTCTTTTATCCTTCAGGAAGCAAAGTCACAAGAAGTTTATCTGCAAATTCAAGGGACACCATGGGAACCACTGCATTCAATAACCCCTCTTCTTCCCTCTCTTCGTATTTTTGTCTAGTTACCCTGCTAGGATTTACATTTGCTGGGTTGGTCACTCTGCCCATTAGCTATATTCCCTATTAGCCATGATTTTTTTTTCTCTATAAATGATCTGGGTTCATCAAATGGGTTATCTAATTCCCTGAACTTCCGTTAACTTTGTTTGCATTTTCCAAGTTCTCCATTAACACGTCTTTATCAGTAGCGATTCCAACAGCGTCTTTGCCCCTTACTTATTATTCAAACTCCATTTATACGTTTCTCATCTTGAAGATAGACCTAACAAAGAAGTTAAGTGTCTCAGCCATTTTTAAGTCATTAATTAATTTCCCTTCCTCATTTATTAATGGAATCTACTGTCATTCGAGTATTATTTTTTTTAATATTGATATATTTGCAGAAGCCTTGCTGGTTCTATTAGCTCCTTTGTCTACCATTAGATCATTACACTATCTTCCTCCCCTTGCATTTCCCCTGGAAACTGCAAGTGATTCTGCATATTCTTGCCTGGTAGCCACTCCAAAACCTCTTTCCAGCAGCTGCAGATCTTTGCATAATTCCTTCACCCACTCTGCCTCTCCAGTGCCTGTATTACTTCTTGTTCCTGAACTTTCAGTATTTAATATCTTAGAACAATGTTCTTCCAAAATATGTATTACCAGTATTTATCCTTGTATTTCTTTGTTTATCCAAGCTTGCCTTCCTAAATGTTCAATATCTACCCAAAACCATCACACAATTTGCTATTATTTTCGCACACTTGTTTCCCTGATTTACCCCTGTGTTGCTCTATTATTAGGAGCACAGATAAGTGTTCAGTTCTCATCATTATTTTTTTACTTCCAGAGTCAACTTTACTGAAAGCAAACAGGATAGTATAGAAAAGCACTACCGCAAACAACTTGTAAAAGCTTGTCACTAAGAACTGGGGGCCTCAGTTACAAAGAAAAGGAAATGAAAAGCCCTTTCTTTCAGATCTTGTTCAGTGCCTCTTGGGTCGGCATAATCAGGTGCTGGGAGGACAAGAGGCTTACTGTGCACAGGAGTCATTTTTCCCTCTCCCACTCCTTCCCTAGGGCCTCCTAGCAGAGCTGGGACCCTTTTGTCAAGCTTTTTAGTTGCCAGCTGCGAGGAGCCAAGATTTAACAATGTTGTTACTTGCTGGCTTTGAAAATCTTTAACATTCTGCTTGGGATCAGTCGTTATCTCTTTGTAGTACAGAGGAAGGGTCAGAGCAGTTCAGAGCAAAGGTCTGTCTAGTCGCACATCCTGTCTCCAGTGTGAGACAGCAGCACACCCCCAGGAAAGAGATGGTGATGCTTCCCCACTACCCTCTCCACCTTCAGAAATTTATGGCTCAAGGACTTCCTGGACCAGAAGGGATGCATTCATAGTTAGAAACCTTTCATAGATTTTTCTTCCCTGAATCACCCAGTGGCTTATTGAATACTTTGCACATTTTCAGGATCCACAAAATACTGTGGTAGAGTTCCTGTGCTTAAAAATGTGTCGTGTTGTGTGGAGAAAAGCCATGGTGTCAGGGATTTGAATCTATGTTCAAGGGACTGAAGCTTAAAATTAGAGCTCCTTAAGCTTGCTCAGTTGCATTACTTTCCCTTCTTGTTTCTGACTGTGCATGTCACTGTTTCTCAGACTCAGCCAATGTCTTGTGAAAACTCATCGTGGTCCTGAGCAGGAAGCTGAGCTTCAGGAGACAGCACCATGTCTCTTATGACTTCCCACAAATTTGCAGCCTTTACAAAATTAAAGCCTAAAAGATGGCATGTCTTTTTTCCAGAGGTGAATCAGCAGAAAAGTCAGAGTGGCCATGCAATAGGCTTTGCAGGTTCCTATATTTCTCTATCTTGAAACATATTAAAGCACTTTGAGGAGCAAAGAGGAAGAGATTGCTTTTGGATCAGGCACGCATGGTATGTGGACGTCTTTGAAGAAGTTACAAGTGACTAAGCTGTTACGTATGATACTTTAGGGTAACAGGACTCATCGCAAAACTGCTTAGCATGTTTTACGTGACAAGCATGTGACACTTGCATAGACTAGCTCCTTTGGGACACCTGGGTGATTTGGCCAGCTCAACAGCTACTCCCTAAAACTGGCAGTTATGCAGTGAACATCACAAAAATGGCTATTGATTTGTTGATATTGCTTACTTGTAATTATCAACAGTTTATTACTCCTGGTATCATCCATTGTAGATTAAGGTCTGTTGCAAAGGTTTCACGCAAACCCATGCAGAGATGGATTTGCTGTCAAGGTCTAGCCAACAGGAGGAAGAGCAATCCCCTGTGCTCTACCAACATGCACCACTGTACAGCAGCCCAAGGGCTAGTGCACATTTGTGCCAACAGGATCCATTGCATTCCATCTGATCCACTCAGCTGCTTTCTGGAGCCTCCAGCAGAGAGTGTCCCATAGTCCATGGCAGGAGCTGGGTGCCCTGAGGCAGAGGAGAGCCTTTTGCTCCTGGACATGGCCAGGCAGTTTAAGTTGGTGTGATGGGCAGCACGGTGACATCCATGAAGTCTAGATGCCCACAAGTTCATTATGATACAACTTCTGTGCTGTTAAAGATACTGTGCTGTTTCCAGTGACAGCCTGGTTTCATCTCCTACTCTCCTTGTGATAGCGTCAGCTCCATAATGCTGGAATTCCCATCGTAGAGTCCTACAAAGCATTGCCCACTCCTCCTTAAAATTAGAGACTGTATTTTTTCCCAGCTCTCATACTTTCACCCACCATGCTGCTTTCACTTTTACTGGCAACCCAGACTTTTAAAATACACATCTTTCTGCAATTGCCTTAGTGCACCCACTCTAGAGTTTGGTTACTGTCTTTGCAAAATCTCTCTTGCAAAGGTCTTTGGAATCTGCACTCTCACTAGATGCTTCTGCGTGTGTTTCTCCTCTTTCTAGGCGTAATTTATATGCTGCTAAAGCATAAGTCAGTAAAGATGAGTGAGTGGTGCATGCCAGTCTCTCCTCTTATCCTCCTCCGTTTGCATGCTTGCAAGGTAGGGATGGGCAGGGCTCATTAAAAAGAGGAAGAATTTCTCTCTGAAACCTCAAATGAATCCTCTTTATTTATGGATATTTTTGAAAAATGGCTTGCTTTATTTATCATGGTGGACAAATATCATGGAAAAAACCATAACCATAAAACATATCTCAGAGCATAGCAGAACATCTCTTTCAAGCGGAATGGATGAGATTAAACCTCAAAGCTCTCATTAATGCGATCGGAAGTTCGATGCCTAATTCTCCATGATTATGCTAAAAAAAAAAAATCTAATTTCAGAAAGCCAGTTGGGGCTGCTAACAGATAAACATGCACTTTCCTGTCATCATTTGCCAAATTGAAGCTCTTAAATCAGGGAAGGAATAGTCAAGGACATCGTAAACCTTTCCAAGCCTGCTTACATAACAAACAAAGCCTTTATTCCAAGTATGAAGAATTGCATGTTCAACCACAACGTAATAACCTTAACCTTGCCCTGTAGCTTGTTATTTTTATGGAGATTTTATTATCCAATATTAGCAGTTAATTATTATTACCTGAGGGCCTTTGTTAAAGAGGCAATCCTGCTTGCTAATACATTTATTTCCTGAAAACATTGAGGGGCACAGGGTTTGAAGTATTTCTTTTCCATCTGCAAGCACCCTGCAGGGGCTGGATCCAGCACCTCCCCAAGGCAGTGGCAAAGGAGCTGCTGATGGCATTGCGGGGCTTAGCACTGGGTACCACTTCTTTGGCAAACACAGCCTGCCTGTTAATTTTTGAGGACATTTACAGCCTGGAAGGTTCGATGCTTTCAGTGAGTTGCTTTTTTTTTTTTTTTTTTCACCCTGCAAAAGAGAGGCAAAGCAAGAAAAGCCCAAAAAGAAAAGCCACATCTTATGCAGCTGGATGCTGGGCTGCTCTTGCAGCAGGCAGAGGAGCACCTTGATATTGCATCCCCACATGGTGCATGCTGGGCCAGGAGCAGGAGCTGCCGCTGCGCTGGTGGGACGAGGACTCTGCCCTGTCGTGCCTGGGGTTGGGGCCACCAGCCAGGTGGTGCACGGCATCTCCTGCAAGAGCCTGCTTGTGCAAATCGATGTGCCAATCTTCTTTCCAGAGCTCTCTGTTGATTGTGGCTCATCAAACCCCCCTGCACCCATAAATATCCTGTAATTGTGTTCTCCTCACATGGCTGCCTTTCTGATGCCTCT